CTGGCGCCCCCTCCCTTGCCCCACCTCCATTGGGGGCGAAAACTAGCGCATCGCTCCAAACATCCTCAGGATCTGTCCCGAAAGCGGATAATGTTGGGAACCAACACAAGCAAACCGCTCGAGACATCCCCGCCATTTTGGCGCGAACGGAGGAGTGCAATACTGCCTGGCGGCTCCCCCTTGGGGGTGCTGGAACCTGCGCCTCGCTCATGACATCCTCAGATTCCGGTGCATCATCATCATCATCATCATCATCATCATCATCATCATCATCATCATCATCATCATCATCATCATCATCATCATCATGCTCATGATCATCATCATCATCATCATCATCATCATCATGATCAGTATCATCATCATCATCATCAGCATCATCATCATCATCGTCGTCGTCATCATCATCATCATCAGCATCAGCATCATCATCATCATAATCACCAGCATCATCATCATCGTCATCATCATCCTCATCATCATCAGCATCATCATCAGCATCATCATCAGCATCGTAATCGTCATCGTCATCATCATCATCAACATCATCATCAGTATCGTCATCATCATCATCGTCATTATCATCATCATCACCATCACCATCATCATCACCATCATCATTATCATCATCATTACCGTCATCATCAGCAACACCTTCTTCGGCACCACTATCATCTGATTGCTTACCATAACATATCACAACATATCGCACGATACCATACCATGGTATAACATACCATATCATGACACACAATATCATAACAAACCATCACATACCATACCATAACATTACATCACATACATACCATGACGTGGGAAGGGCGAGGCGAGGGAGGTGAATTCCCGGCGCGATCGGAATATTTATTCACTGCGTAGAACTCCCAAAATGTGCATCCATTAACATGGACCTGTCCGCCGTGAGTGTCTAGGCGCAAGAGCTTTCGAATACAAGCAGGTTTGAATATTGACGGCCTGGGAGTGAATCGAATTGTGAATGAGTTGGAGCGTGAATGAGTCTCCCTAACATTCATGCGTTTCTGCGCATGAGCCTTGGGCCTCCTGGGGCCTCTCGAAGCCTACTGGGGCTTCCTGGGGCCTCCTGGAGCCTCTTGGGGCCTCCTGGGGCTTCCTGTGGCCTCCTGGTAACTCCTCGTGCCTCGTGTGGCCTCCTGGGGCCTCCAGGAGCCTCCTGGGGCCTCTTGGGGGCCCCAGGAGATGCCCAATCGATAGGAACAGACGTAACACACTTCAGGTTGGAGCCACAGGAGAGGGGTAATCTATAGGGAGCACACGTGAAACACCAAGGACTCGTGCCCCAAGGGATGCTTAATATATAAACACATACGGAAAACGCTTAGAAGTGGATACGCAAGAAAAACAGCCACGGGAACACACGTAAAACACCAATGATTCGTACCCCAGGGGAGGCCCCAAATATAGGAGCATAAATAAAACAACGGGGATGGGATCCACTCCTGTGGCCTTCTGAGGCCTCCTGTTCCTGGGGCCTCGAGGGGGTTCCTGGGGCCTTCCAGGGCCTCCTGGTGCCTCCTGGCGCTTCCTGCGGCCTCCTGTGGCCTCCTGTTGCCTCCTGGGGCCTCCTGCTGCTTCCTGGAGCCTCCTAGCGCCTCTTGGGGCCTCCTGGGGCCTCCTGGGGGCCTCTTGGGGCTTCCTGTGGCCTCCTGATGCCTCCCCGTGCCGCGTGTGGCCTCCTGGGCCTCCCAGGTTATGAGGAAAATCCCGGAGGCCTCGCGCGGCAACTTGAGACCCGATGTACGTCGGATCCACGTCGGATGTACGCCGGGTTCACGTCGGACTACGTCGGATTTCCGGCGGAATGACTCCAGAGCGTAGCCGCGCGAGCGTCGACCCATAGCTTACGGAACGGACAAGTGGACTGCATCATACTACTATTGCGCGCCGCGCGAGGCCTCCAAGATTTTCCTCATAACCAAGGGCCTCCTGGAACCTGCTGGGGCCTCCTGTTGCATCCTGAGGAGGATCCATGCCCACGAGTCTGGCCAACAAAACATGCACACCGTTGGAGACATCCTCGCAATCTGGGCCACCAGGGGTGCGAGCACCAGCGCCTCGCTCGAGACCTCCTCCAAATCGAATCCGAACACGGAGGAAATTGGGAACCAAAGCAAGCAACCCGCTCGAGACATCCCCGCCATTTTGGCGCGAACGGATTAATGCAATACCCTCGGCGCCCTCCCCCCCCACTGGGGGCGAAAACCCGCGCCTCGCTCGAGGCATCCTCAACATCTGCTCCGCAAGCGGATGATGTTAGGAACCAGCACAAGCAGATTGCTCAAACACTCCGCCATTCTGGCGCGAACGGAGGAGCGCAACAAACCCTGGCGGCTCCCCCTTGGGGGTGCTGAGACCCGCGCCTCGCTCGAGACATCCTCAGAATCTGCTCCGCCATCATCATCATCATCATCATCATCATCATCATCATCATCATCATCATCATCATCATCATCATCATCATCACCATCATCATCATCAGCATCAGCATCAGCATCATCAGCATCAGCACCAGCATCAGCATCATAATCATCATCATCATCATCATACTCATAATCATCATCACCATCACAACCATCACCATCAGCATCGCCATCATCATCACCATACCATAAAGTTACCATAAGACGCCATACCATACCACACCATGACATACCATAATACACCATGGCATACGATGCCACATCATACCATAACATACAATGCCATACCATACCATACCATACTATCCCATCCCATAGCATAGCATATCATATCATGATAAGGAAGAGGAAGAAAAGTGGGAGGAGCAGGTGTGAGGTGTTCTGTCTCTCGGCGCGGTCGGTAATAACAATAATCTCATGATTTGGACATGGGGAATCACAAGAACCCCATCTGGACATGGAAAAGATAGCTTACAATACCAATAACACGACAAAAATGATAAGAACGATGTGAAGGAGTGAGCGCGCGGCGCAGAGCACTTACCTCGCCTCCCACCCCCCCTCACGCTATACGTGTATATAGATACATACTTATACATCGATGCGCACTGCTACATAACTCATAGTTGTCGTTTAGGTGGCTTACGATCGGCAGCCTGAGTAGCTATGAGTAACAGATCTGTAGCCCTAAGTCGCTGTTCTAACTAGCTAAGATACTTGATACACTTACAGCTCTGGTGCAAGTAGCCTAAGAGGCTTCGATCTCTCAGTTGGGGGGTCCCTGGTCAACACTACCCCCTCGCGGGTCCCGGGGCCCAAGGGGCACCCCAGAAGCCCCCACGAGGCCCCCAGGCGCCCTCAAGGAACCGCCAGGAAGCCCCAGGAGGCTCCCAAAAGGCTCCCAAGACACCCCCAAGACTTTGTGTGGGTTCTTGGGCATCTCTTGGGGGTCTCGTGTAGTCTCTTGGGCACTCTCGGCAGCGTCTGACAACGACCTTCCCGAGTGCCTCTTCCATCCTGAGGGTGGTCGTCGTCAAGGGTCGGCGGCACCAGCCGTAAGGCATTAGTAATAACGATAGGGCACATCATGCCGACTCTACGCTGTCTTCGCGTCGAAACTGGCACGCAACATGATTATAGCAAGGAGCGGAAGTGGATCGCGCTGTGAGGAATTCCAGTGCGAGCGTACAGCGTCCGACCATCATGATGCACGAGCCCCTGTGCAAAATGAGTTCGACGTCGATGCGGCGTTTGTTTGCAGAGAGGAAAAGCGGGTAAGGCGGCCCGCGGAGGCGCGGAGAATGCCGTGCACCGCCACGACAGTCGACCCGCAAACAAGGCGAGTGCCACCGTGTGGAGAGCGCAGCGCCGGCCGTGCTGGATCCGCGCGGGCGAGAGCGAAAGCTTCGTAGCGAACAGATGCCCCAGAGCGTGAAGCGGGAGGCAGGATGCAGCATGCTGGCCCTCAGAACGTGGGAGGAGCCCAGCGCGGAGGCGGGGGAAGTTCGCGGCTAGCTGCAGGCAGCGCTGTCGATGGTAGATGTAAGCAGGGTAGGATTATAGCTGCGCGCTAACTCCAAATCAACATGCGCGGAATCAGTGCGTCGTGGGACTGGTGAATCCTGCAGATTTCCTGTCTTTCGCGTCGTGGAATCGGTGCGTCCATAAATGTCCTTTTCTTTCGCGTCCGCCGGACATGCCAACTGTTCTCCTCATGACATCCGCCGGCACGCCGACTCAGCACATAAGGCAGCGGGGACTAGCGATGGTGATAGCAGAAGGCATTCGCTCTCTCTCTCTCTCTCTCTCTGCATTATCTCCCTGTGTGGGAGGGCGGAAACACGCACCAACATGAACGTTGGACGGCCGCGGGCGGCAGGCTTCCCTTGGCTCTGGACTCTCTCCCCGTGCCCCCTCCCCGGCACGCGAGGCGCGCATGGGACGGCGCAGAAGGCACCGCCAAGGGTGTGCGGGGCTGGGCCCCCGCGACTACGAACATCTGCCGTCCACGGGAGTCCGACATGTTCCCCAAGCAGTGCCTGCACCCGCGCAACGCTGGCACTCCGAAGCCCTCACTTGCATTTCACAGGAACTTGGCGGGTATGCCGACGATTCGCCAGGCTGCCGCCCGTGGCCGCCTGTGGGGGTGTGCCGAGGCTTCGCCACGTTGCCGCCCGCTGCCGCCTGTGGGGTTAGGCCGAGAGTTCGCCATCTTGCCGCCCGTTGCGGGCCTCGCGCCGTTGCCGCCCGCTGCCGCCGGCGGTGGTATGCCGAGAGTTCGCCCTCTTGCCGCCCGGTGCCGGCCGTTGCCGTCCAAGGGGTATACAGAGGACTCGCCACTCTGCCGCTCGCTGCCGCCCGTTGCCGCCTGCGTGGGTGATTGTGCCGAAGCTGCGCCACGCTGCTGCCTCGTGCCGCCTGCGGGTGTCTGCCGGAGATTCGCCACGCTGCCGGCCGTTGCCGCCTCGTGGCCGCCTGCGGGGGTATGCCGAGGATTCGTCGCACTGCCACCCGTTGGAGGTGCAATCGCTCACTGGTTGGGGTTCACGCTGGCAAGCATAGTTCTTCATCGATCATATGTGGCTTCTGGCATCCGACTTCAAAGGCGGAAGGGGGGCCCGCGGCGGGCCGTCCTCTGTCCCCGTCGCCGCGGTCCTTGTCGCCGCCGCGGCTGCCCCGGTCGCTGCCCCGGTCGCGGTCTCCGCGGCCGCGATCGTCGCCGCGGTCCCGGTCGCTGCCGCGATCGCGGTCGCGGTCGTCTCGGTCGCGGTCGCCCCGCTCCTGGCAGGCGGGCTGCTCTGTTGAGGGGATCTCTGCTGCCTGCGCACGGCGACTGGCCTCTTTCGAACTAACAACACTGAGCAGCGCCCAAACTCGCAACAGCTCAAGATCGACAATCCCCTCCGAATCGCGAACGACCCGCTGCACCCCCCGCCTCATGATGCACTTCCTGTGGATGTCGGACTCACAACTCCCTGCCACCACCAGCCGCTTTCCCTGTCTGCCCGCCTTCCAAAGGAATGGAGCGGAGGAGTAAGAGGGAGGCGTGGCCCGGCGGGAGGACGAGGCGGCCAGGGGGGGTGAAAAGGCTTCCCCTCGCCCCGGCCGGCCCTCCGACAGGGCTCTCGCCGCGGGCAGAGCTCGTGCTCAGAGCTCGCCATCCTGTCCACTTTCCCTGAACCCGCCCCGAAGCTTGAGAATAATACTACCAGGATGAGAGAGAATACAAGGTGTCCAGAAGCGGGGTGAGAGAATACTTTGGTGATCAAGTGGGAAGCTTAACCGAGCAATCTCAACGACTCGCGCCAAGAGAACTGGCTCAGAGGGCGCATGCTAAAGCAACATACTGGCATGAGGAGCTGTTCACACCAGTACTTGGTTTGCGTAACCAATGTGGCATACCAATATCGAGCTCCACTGCGCCCTGGACCTTAGCAAGAGGGGTGTACACTTGCAGCGCCATCGAGTGGTAGCGCAGATGCATGAGCCATTCCCAGCGCGGGCAGGACTCCAACATGCGAAACCGCATCGTCGACAGACGGCACGCACTCATGAATAGCCCAAACTGAATCACATCGAAATACAGCGAATTCAACAATCGAGACAGGCTGCTCTGGGCTCTCGTCCACTGGTGAGAAGAGGACGTGGATCAACACACAGAACTTGAAAATGCACTGGGAGGAGGGCACAAGCAAGAAGCAGAGGGTGAGCGCACGCAACTTTTGTAGAACGGATAATAAAGAAATGCCAGGGTAGCAATGGCGGTGGCAGCGATATGCTTAATTCAACATGTAACTCGTTGCGGACAGCACTCTGGTATATATAAACATACCTATCGCTGTTGACGTGCTGCTATCACGCATTGCAAGCAATACTATGCGCGCGAGGTGACTGTTCAACTAGCCTAGGCTAGCGGGCATGAAATATGCGTCTCAAAGTGCGCTCACATCGGCGACCAAAGAGAAAACACATATAGGAGGAAAAGAAAGACGTTGAAGAGGATAGAGTGGAGGACGAGGAGCAGGATAGAGTGGAGAGCAGCGGAAGGAGAAGCAGGAAAGGCGAGGAGGGCGAGAACCAGCCTTGGGGATCAGTGTCGCGCCGTCGCTGGCCGCATGGCCACAACAGAGGATCGAGTCCGTCCTTGGCGTCCACGTTGGACGTATCGTAGGTGATGCAATTCATGTAAACAAATTCCGGTGCACAAGAAGGTCTCCCGTGGATCGGTAAGGTAAGAGGTCCCCGTCGTCCCCCGAGAGCCAGACCACGGACACTGGACATGTTGCGCGAGCCAACAAACAGAACAACCTGGAGGAGGGCAGAGATCCAACTGCATCTCGACGCCTGCTGTGGCAATCGCCTGGTGGCATGGCGAAGAGGCTCGCACCGACAGAGACCATGGGGTCCACCAGAGGACGCTGTCGTCGCTCCATCACGCCGTTGGTCTGAAAGCGGTCGGCGGCGACCCTGTCCGTGTCGAGAGTGCGAGGGCTACTCAGGTACAGGTGCTGTCGCGACCGTCCGGGGCTGGTGGGGTCTGTGCCCAGCTTGCGGAGCGCCAAGAGGAGCAGAATCGCCAATGCGTCGGACCTGCCCGATCTCTCCAGTGCTTGTCCCTGCGAGGGCCGCGAAGGTAAGTCAAAATTGCTCGGCCACCTCTCGGGTACACGCAAATCACATGTCGAGGGGCCATCCAGGCGAAAACCAAAACGGTCGCCTTATCGGAGCCAACACTCACCAACGATGTGGGCGGTACTGTGTAGCCGCGTCTGCTAAGGAGCCTTCCACTGCGACCACAAGCTCCGCCGGAATACCTCAGACGAGCTGGCACCTCTGGTGCCTCCCCGAATCGGAGACAATGGCCGTCACACTGTCCTCGGGGCCGAATTGCGGCGCGTCGGGAAGCATGGACGGGACCACCGTGCTGCACTCGACGACCATGTGGCGAACCACCGTGGCCACGGGCCAGGCTGACGTCAGTGGCCGCGTGCGCTACTCCAGGGCGGCGGCATGGGGTCCTCGCTTCCTGCGGCCAAGCCAAGAGGCAGTGGAAGTGGCGGTCGCGTTCTGCTGCGGTGGCTTGCGTGGCTTGCGGTGGTTCCAAGCCTCGAGACAATACGTCTGATCTTTCCACGCCAACGGCTTTTACGACTCATGCGAGACGCGTGGGCGAGCTCGGGATTCAGCCCAGGGCATTCGAATAGATGGATCAAGGATTGTTGGGGTAGTTGAATCACGACGGCGCCAACAGTCTGCGGGTCTGCGAAGATGGTGGTGGTGGTCGCCTCGATGAGCTCTGAGCTGTCCACCTCCACCAACATCAATGCATCAATCGATCGGCGTCTGTGCGATCAATGGGTCAGACTCCGTGTATCGCCAGCAATTGAGCAGGGATCGACCGTCCCGGCATTTCTATAGGCCCACCATGGAATGTTCGTAGAACCCAAACATGTTCCAATAACAACAACAATGTTCTTGGAACATAAGCCCGATTTGTGAAAACAAGGCAGCCTCCGCCAACACATGTTCTAAGAACATGTCGTTGAAACCACACAAGGTTCTTAGAACATTCTTTGGTGGGCCTATAGGCGAGCCAGGACGCTTCGCCACTGCTTGAAGTACGACTCTGGGAGAGTGAGCGCATCACGGCCTGTCCCACATCCTTGGCCACTCGCGACGAGTCGCACGTGTCTGGCTCTCGTCGGTGGTGGGCGCCCTTCTCATCCTCTGCTCTCGCCGGCCTGCGGCGCCGCTCCGGCCTGCACCAGGGAAGAAACTCCATGCCCCTGGAGACGAGGCCTTCACGAGGGGAAGGAGGATCCCTGTTCCAGCTCCGGACAAACAAACAAATCCTCAAAGAGTTGCCAAGACGGAATGGGGCGCATGGGATAACGAAGAGCTTCGGGTGCCCAGCGGAGACGGGCACGTGCTTTCTCTACGGTAAACATTCGTAATCTGGTGGTTCAGGCTGCGGCTTCCTTTGTCTCGGGCATCGCGGCACAATGCAGAAAGCTCACCACACAGAGGATGAAGAAGATGGGCGAGGCAGAGAGTAGCTGAGCGAGGAGGAAGACAGATTGCTGCCCTACGCCCCACGATTCCCAGGAGGTCTTCGGAAGCCTGGCCGAAGCCGGGCCAAAACGCAAGGCGGACAAATCCGGGGCGAGTCCTCGCGGCCAGAGCCACCACCCGCGCCGCTGAAGCTGCGCCCAGCGGCCCCCGCTGGGGACGGCGACGCCGCCACGCCGGCGGCTGCGGCCGCCGAAGAGATCTGCTGCGCGATGAGGCGCTGTTCCCACTCCTCGCGCGCAGTCAGACACAGGAGCAGCCGCGTCACCTCCTCCTCCTCCTCCTCCTCCTCCTCCTCCTCCTCCTCCTCCTCCTCCTCCGCAAAAGAGCAAGGACGAGGTCATCTCTGCGCACTCGCCGCGACCCCTTGGAAACGATGGGCTCTCCGACCCAGGACGGCGGAGAGCGCGACGCGCGGCCATCTTCTCGCCCCTTCGGGCGGAGGCCGGAGAGGGCGCGAGAACGTCCGGGAAGCCGCTCCCGCCCGCAGGTCGTAAGTAGCTTCGTGCTTCGAGTCGTGTGTGGCGTGCGCGCGAAGCCGTGCGCGAGTGCGCGAGTGCGGATGGCTTAGTGCGTGAGTGCAGTGTGGTGAGTCTGCCCTGCCGCCGTTCCTGCCATCTCTGCCGCCGGGCGGCGGCTCGGCATCCCCCTGGCTCAGCGGACGCAGAGCGGTCGAAGCTGCAGCTCCTTGCCGCGGGGGGCACCTGCTCCAGGGACGCGCGACAGCTCATACGCCACGCGCAGGCGCCCCCAGCGTCGAGAATCGACGACTCGCATCGGCGATCCAGCTGAATCGCATCGGCGGAGATCGGCAGCCGAGTCGGGAGAAGTCGCATCGGCGGAAATCGGCAGCCCGGTGGGCCTCCACGAAGAGGTCGGAGCCCGCATCGGACTCCCAGGCCGCATCGGGTCGGACTCGGCAGCCACCGAGGTCGGATCCGGCTCGAGTCGGGGGAACCGAAAGGAGCCCTGCACGTGCCTCCACCAGGGGCGGCCTTCCAGCCGCCGTGCGACGTGCGCCCCACGTGGCGGCAAGCTTTCCTTTTGTACCGTTCCTTGTGGCCCCAAAAAGGGGTCCAGCTGCAAGGGGGTGGTGCAATACATGTTGGGCAATTGGATTGCACATGCACTGCGCCAGAGGATTGTATTGCATCGTATTGCAACTGATGTGTTGCACGCGAAAGCCCGGCAATCCACTTGCGCACTGGAATGTGTTGCACACCCCAGCTATAGATTGCAACCCCACAGATCTGTTGCACCAAATTTATTGCACCACCCCCTTCTCGCTGGAGCCCCTTTTGGGTCAACCAGAACTGTGCTGCGTCCGCCGACGGGTGTCTCCTCGTGGCGTGCCCCTTCGTCCGCCGGCTGGCGCGGTGTCCCAAGAGCGCGGCAGCGATGCCCCGTCCTCGATCCCCGAGTGTGAGCCGGCTGATGTTCTGCACTGCTCTGGAGAGCAGAAAATCCACCCTCATAATTCGGCGGTGGACAAACCTCCCTTTAATAAACCACTCTGTAAGGGAAACGGCCTGGAACCGAAACCGACGGACCTGGACCCGCAGAAATGACGGTCGCGACGCCCTCTCGCGATCCGAAAACGGCCAATTCGCTAATCGACATGTCAGGGTAGGAGGTCTATCAACCTCCGAATAATAATCAGCCCGACTCGCGAAGCCGTTCAGTAAACTCACCCAAAGAAGGAATCGAACAGGGCAGGGCTGTTCAGAAAACGCCCAGGGCCGTGTATAGCAAACGCCAATTATCGGGTCCGGGTGGATATACCTCCCTTGATTCTTTCTGCATGCGATAAAATGCAATTTGCAATTAAAAAGCAATCTGCTCCCACCAGCTCTCTGAGCGTGGGTGGTTTCGCAGAGCAGCTCTTCCACAACAGCCCCTTCTTCACGTTCGAGGTGAGGGTATTCCTTTTCCTACTCCTTCCCTGCTGAGGACTGGACGGGGGACGCAGGGTGTAAGAGGGCCCTGTTTGGCCCGAGATGGCACCAACGTGGCCCCAGACAGCTCACGATGGCCTCCAAGCGGGTTCACATTTGCTGAAGTTGGCCTCCAGCATGGCATTGAAGGGCCATTAAGCGCCCCAAAGACAGCTCGAGGTGGCCACGGAGCCTCCCAAGGTTGCCCCTGACGAGGCAAAGCTTGACACAACCTCGAGCATGCCGATGATGTCCATCATCCCGCCTTCTCGCCTCCAACAGGCTGCCGAGGCCTCCTGCTGATGATTCCTCTCCTCTCGCCCTCCCAGCCCTGGAGAGCCCCAGGAGGGGCCCGCAGGAGCCCAAAGGCGGCGCCCAACGGCCTCCGCGAACACCTCCTCCCTCCCCCGTGTGTTGGCCCCCGAATGTTGCGTTTGGACCCCGCCCCCGCATGCCAAGTGTCGGAACTAACGACTTTCCATGATGCGCTTTCCGATGCCCTTCAGGACCACTCCCAGGACACGCGAGGCACAATGGTGTCACACAGTTCTGCCTCCAGGTGCTGCTCGTCGCCGACACTGCTGCACTCGGCCTCGGCCGTCCGTGTGCTCAGGAGCCCGAGGTCTGGGCTCGAGCGCCCAAGACTGTCTGGACGCCAGGCGCACCTGCACGGGCCTCGATCCTGAGCGAGCGCGGGGTCGAGCGTGCCTCGTAGTGGGCGAGCGTGGGCATCGCAGTGGGCGAGCGTGGGTCGAGCGAGCGTGAGGTCGAGCGGGCGTGAGGTCGAGCGTGCCTCGCAGTGTATACACGCCTCCCCCCGTTCCCCGCTGGGGGGGGGGGGGCGGCTGCCCCCCGGGGGGAGGCCGTCTTGGGCCGTCCAGGGCTCCTCTTGCGCCGTCTCGAGGCACTCTTGGAGGCCTCCTGGGCAATTTGGGGCTCTCCTGGGCTGTCTTGTGGCAATCTTGGGGGCCTCTTGGGCCGTCTTGGAGGTGTCTTGGGCCGTCTTGGGACCCTCTTCGGCCGTTAGGGGACCCTCTTGGGGGCCTCTTGGGCCGTCTCGGGACGATCTTGGGGCGATCTCCTGCTGCTCGCGCAGCTGCTGCTGCTGCTGCGCCAGCCGCTGCATCTCCGCCTGGTAGGCCAGCTGCTGCGCCTGCCGCTGGGCCTCCTGCTCGGCCTCCCGCGGGGCGGCGGGGGTGCTCCGACCCGGCGTCGGGTCGGGGCACCGCGCCGGGTCGGAGCGGGGCGTCGAGTCGGGCCGCATCGGGGCGGAGTCGAAGCCAGGCCGAATCGACCGCGCCACGCTGCACGACACCGCCGCGCAAACGCCCAGCCGCATCGGACCGTCGGGACACCGAGGTCGCATTGGATCGGGCTGGTCGGAATCGATGTCGAATCGGGCCGACCGGATCGACATGCGACCTGGGTGGAGCGGCGCCAGGCCTCGCGCACGCGGCTCCTGCATCTCTCCCGGTCCCTCTCCCCCGTCCCTGCCCCTGGGCCTGGCTGCCGTCGTCGACGCCGTCATCGACGTCGTCGTCGTCGTCGTCTTTTCCTCCCCCCCCCCCTCAGCGCGACCGGTTGTTACTGTGGCCTGTTGGGTGTTAGTGTGGCCCGTTGGGTGTTAGTGTGGCCCGTCGCGCGGCGGGATGGGAGTTACTGTGGCCCGCGCAGGCCGCTCAATGAAAAGTAATATGTAAAGGTATCTCATGTTAGATCTGGAGAGATTCGCAACCCTTAAGGGAATGCACTCCCGCGCAGGTAAAAGTGGCCACAGTAACTCCCATCTGGAACCAACGTGGTAGTAGTGCTGTGTTAGTGGTGTGGTGGTCGCTGTGCTGTGTTAATGGTGTGGTGTGGTGTTGGTAATGTTGTGTTAGTGGTGTGGTGTTGGTAGTGGCGGGTTGTGCTGTATGCTGTGTTAGTGGTGGGGTGTTGGTAGTGGTGTGCTGTGTTAGTGGTGTGGTGTTGGTAGTGTTGTGTTAGTGGTGTGGTGTTGGCAAGGTTGAGTTGTTAGTAGGTAGTAGTGTTGTGGTAGTGGCAGTGGTGCTGTGGTAGTGGTGTTGTGGTAGCGCTGTTGTGGTGTTGTGGTTGTGGTATTGTGGTAGCGGTGTTGTGGTGTTGTGGTAGCGGTGTTGTGGTGTTGTGGTACTGGTATTGTGGTAGTAGTGCTGTAGTGTGGTAGTACTATGGTGCTGTAGTGTTGGTGTTAGGTACTATCATTCATAGGGAGTGCTAGTCCTACGGAGTACTAGCCGCAGGGAGTGCTAGCCCCAGGGAGTACCAGTCCTAGGAATTACTACCCCAAGGGCGTATTCGTCCAAGGGAGTATTCGTCCTAGGGAGTACTCGCACTACGGAGTACCACCCCTAGGGAATACTAGTCCTAGGGAGTGCTAGTCCGAGGGAGTGCTAGGAAGTAGTGGCGCTAGGGAGTGCTAGCCCTAGTAAGTACTGGCGCTAGGGAGTGCTAGGGACGACGACGACGACGACGACGACGACGACGACGACGACGACGACGACGACGACGTCGTAGTAGTAGTAGTAGTAGTAGTAGTAGTAGTAGTAGTAGTAGTAGTAGTAGTAGTAGTAGTAGTAGTAGTAGTAGTAGTAGTAGTAGTAGTAGTAGTAGTAGTAGTAGTAGTAGTAGTAGTAGTAGTAGTAGTAGTAGTAGTAGTAGTAGTAGTAGTAGTAGTAGTAGTAGTAGTAGTAGTAGTAGTAGTAGTAGTAGTAGTAGTAGTAGTAGTAGTAGTAGTTAGTAGTAGTAGTAGTAGTAGTAGTAGTAGTAGTAGTAGTAGTAGTAGTAGTAGTAGTAGTAGTAGTAGTAGTAGTAGTAGTAGTAGTAGTAGTAGTAGTAGTAGTAGTAGTAGTAGTAGCAGTCGTAGTTAGCAGTCGTAGTTCGGAGAGCCCAAGAGGCTCTTCCGAGAGCCCAAGAAGCGCTTCGGATGCCCCAAGAGGCTCTTCGGAGGCCCCACGGGGCTCTTCGGAGAGCCCAAGAGGCTCTTAGGCGGCTTCAAGAAGGTCTTCGGCGGCTCCAAGAGGCTCTTCGGAGAGCACCAGAAGCTCTTCCGAGAGGCTCTTCGGTGAAGGGGGGGGGGCGGAGCCTTTTTGGACCTCCCCCCCCCCTTTACCGTACTCGATAATTAATAGACTCCGGAGGACCCCTGGCCATACTAACATCCACCGGGCCGCAGTAACAACCAACGGGCCGCGGTAACACCTTATCTCCCCTCAGCTCCCCTTCCTCGATATTCTGCTGTCGCCGCCACTCATTATCCCGAGCCCTGCTCACGGTGCTCCCCCGCTTCCCCTTGCACGCACACTACTTACGGCCCGTGCGTTGAAACCACCCCCACAGGCTACGCTGCCGTCTCTGCGCTGCTTCTTTCTAGGGGCATCGCTGGGGAGGGTGATGGTCAAGGGTACGAAGAGTGTGCGCCAATATTTACCCCCCTGGTGCGCAGCCCGAAGATGTTTCCCAGGTGCCCCCCCTTGTGTCCCACACGTGACGGGAACGACGATTCCATTCGCATCCCCTTGGGTTGCACAACGTTCCTTTCTAGCCGAGCACGCCGGGGCGATCGCATGCACCTACGGTTTCCCTGCCTGGGGAAGGACCTGGCTGGGTCGCTAGGAAGCGACGACAGCCCCACAGTCTGGGTTCGAACGTGCCCGTGGAGTACCCTCTGTGGCGCCCCTCCCCCTGGGGGCGCTGAAACCGGCCCCTCGCCTAGAAAACCACCAGCAGGGCGCGACTGGGCCCGTGAAACACCTCCCGGCGGCTTTCCCCAGTGAAGTGCTGAAGTCAGCGCCTCGCTCTCGAGACATTCTCACAATCTGTTTCTGAAGGCGCCGCAGTCCAAGCCACCAAAAGCAGGCGAACCGCATCAGACATACACCCGCACTTTGGGCGCGAAGGGGCCGTGAGATACTCCTGGCGACTCACCCTTCGGGTGCTGAAACCAGCGCCCTAAGCCAGGCGAAGGCTGGCAAACCCGTGGCTGCTAAAACAGAGCTCCGGGAAATTGCTTCTTCTTCTTCTTCTTCTTCTTCCGGGAAGCAGCCCGTTTACTATTTAGCGTGCTGCGCTTTATTCTGGAATTTGCTTCCTTCCAAAAAGACCGTCTTAGCAGCCACGGATTTGCCAGCCCTCGCCCAGCTTCCGACTGGCTCCCCCTGTGGACAGTCCCCTTCAGGGTTGGCGGCCCCAGCCGCAAAGCAATGCTCCCTGGCGGCTCCCAGGAACCACCGCCTCGCTCGAGACATGCTCACACTCTTCGAGTCTGACTGTGAGTGCAGGTCTGAGTTCGAGCGAGCGTGAATGTGAGTGTGAGGTGTGGCTCAAGAAGTCAATGCCCAAGTCAACAGTGCCCACAGGGGTCGCCCGCGCCCGACTCCTCCTTTTTCTCCTGCTATCCCCATCTCCACCTACATGTCGCCCCTGCTGCGGCTGCAGCGATGCTGCGCGGTCCTCGCGCTCGGCGCCCAGACGGTCGCTGCCAACTGCCCGGCCCGGGGATGCCGCAGGGGATGCTTGCGGCTGCGCGCGGACGTGCCCCTGGACCACCAGAGCGCCTGCCCACGTACGCGGCGCCGACAGGTCCAGCTTCACGCAGCAGTGCGGCTCTGGTTCTGGAGGGAGGAGTGCGCCAATTGCGTGCATGAGGAAGCGCAGCATCCTTTTCTTCGTGGCCGTAGGTAGGCTATCTTTGCACGTGCCTTCTCACGCACCGTGGGCTGCATGCCCCAATCCCTGGACACTTGGCCTTATTGTCGGAGATCTCGTGGGACACATATTCTGTGCAGGAGGCGCTGCGGCATGGCTGGGATGACGCGGACGTGGTTCCTCTGCCCGCCCTCCCCGGTGCGCGCGCAGGAGGCTGGCCCCTCCGCGCGGCAGCTTTGCCGGGTGGGTTGTTGTTTCTCGCCGCGGCCCCGGAGCCTGCTTCAGCATCGCGGTGTCCAGGGAGGCCCGGGAGATCGCCGCTTGTCCTGTCCGCCCCAAGTTCGCCCTCGTTTCCTTCCAGATCCTATGGCTTGGGTCTGCATCTGGCGCCTGGGCGGCCACGTGGCATTTTCTGGACTTCGACGCTACGCTGGGACAATCTGGGGAGGGCCCCCCACAGCCGGGCGCGCCGCTGGGAGGTGAGCGGCCGTCGCGGCGGCGGAGCCGTAGCTGGGGGCGCGGCGTATCCTCGCCCCCCCTGGACCGAAGTGCACCTCGGGATGGCCCAGCCGCCGCCGGCAGGGCGGGTTCAGTGCCTCCTGGGGGGCCCAGCCAGCAGCAAGGGACGGAGTTTGACGAGCTGCGCCTGGGGGTCCGCAGGCTGAACTTCGACGAGGCGATGCCGGCCGTACTGCCGCCCCCGCAGGCGCGCTGGCATTGCCCTGTGACCGGTTGCCCGTGCGCTGACCCAGCGAGGCACCAAGGTTGGGCCGACGTTCACGGCCTCCACCGCCACCTGAACGCACACCTCAGCGAACAGCTCGCCGGCCAGGTGGATCCCGAGTGGCTTCGCCGGCACGGCCGCGCTCGTTGCAGAGTCTGCGTTCTCGGCGTGGGAGCCAATCGAGGCGTGCACCCCGCGTGCCGCCAAGCTGACCGCGCAGCCCTCCCGGCGGCTGCTGCGCCGCAGCCTGCCCCCGCGGCTGCTGCCAGGGGGGCTAGAGGGAGCCGCCCGTCCTTGGCCAACGTCCACGCTGCGAGCGTGCCCACCCTCCGGCACGCCCCCAAGCGCGCTCGGGCTGCGTGGCCCTGCGCGCTGGCTCGTTGCCTTGCCAGCGTGGTGGCGCACAACTCCGTTTCTGCTTGGGCGGACTTGCAAATGCTGGCCAACACCGTCCTGAGCGTGCCTCCGCGCACTGGCCGGGATCACGAATCCGCCCCCGCGGCGCCCACGCCGGAGCGACCCGCCCGCGGGGAGGCGGCGAGCGACCGACGCCCCGGCAAGAGGCCCGCGACGCCCAGATCAGAAGGCGCCGTCGGCCAGCTGGCCCGCCCACGACCGAGCTGCGGGCAGCGCGCGCCACGACCCACGCTGCAGAGGGCCTGCTGGCCAAAGGGCGCGGCGCCTTGACGGCGAGGGGGGTGGCCGAACAGACGAGGGAGACAAAGCGGGCCCTCGAAGGATAGCACCCAACGGCGCCCGCCGAGCCACTTGGGCACCTGGACACGCTCTCGGCTGCAGCAGAGCTCGCGCCAAACGCCGCGCTCAAGGCTTTGCGCGCTTTCCCAAAAGGCACCTCCCCGGGCCCTTCTGGACTCCGAGCCCAACACCTGCTGGACGCCCTACCCCCGCCGCCCGCGCGACAGTCTGCGAGCAGCTCGCGGCCGTCGGGCACCCGCTGGCGAACGGGGAGGCGCCCCGACAGTTGGCGCCGCACCTTGCTGGGGCCAGTTTGGTGGCGCTGGAAAAAGAGGACGGCGGTGTCCGGCCGATCGCAGTCGGCGAGGGGCTCCGCCGTCTCACGAGCAAGATCCTCTGTGAACACGAAGGGCAGGGCCCGGCAGACGTTGTGGCCACTGCAGACTGGCTGTTGCAGCCCGCTGGGTGCGGAGGCAACCTTGCACGCCGTGCGCAAGTGGTGCGAGCGCAGCAGCACCCCTGGCAACAAGGTTCTGCTCAAGCTGGACTTCGCGAGCGCCTTCAGCACGTTGCGGCGTGGCGACGTGTTGCGCGACGTCGGCGACGAATTCCCCGAGCTGGAACGGTGGGCGCGCTGGACGTGCGCGGAACACCCGCACTTGCGGTTCGGCAAACACACGGTGTCCTCCCAAGCTGGCGTCCAGCAGGGCGATCCCGTGGGGCCCTTGTTCTTCTCCCTGGCTGTGCACCCAGTGCTGGAGGAACTGGCCAAAGACCAGGAATTGGACCCGAAAGCCTTCTACCTGGACGACAACTTCTAGGCAGGCACAGCGGCGGCGGTGGCGCGGGCGTTCGCTGCCTTGCAACTCCGCTGCGCAGCGCTTGGGCTTGCACTCAACCTGGGTAAGTGTTAGCTTGTGGTCCCAGGCGGGCAGGCGCCAAACGGCCTGGATCGACTCTTCCCTGCGCCGCTGCTGACAACCCCTGACACTGGCGCCAGCCGAATAGTCCTGAGAGGCGGCTTCCGGCTTCTCGGCGCACCGATAGAGGGCCAGGCCTTCACTGAGGCCTTCACGGAGCGGCGCGCTGCCAAGGCGGGGCCGACCCTGGCGGCGTTGAAAGCCTTGCACCCGCAGGTGGCCCTCGTGCTGCTGCGGCACTGCGCGAGCTTTGACAAGCTTGTCTACAGCGCACACACCGCGCCGCCTGAGCTGCAGGCTGGCGCCCTCCGAGGCTACAGCGCCACGCAGCGGGACGCGCTTGGGTGCCTGCTGGCCGCGGACTTGACGGACGCCCAGTGGCACCAGGCCTCTCGCGGGCCGGCGTGCGCCAGCCTGGGCCTGCGGCGGCTGCAGGCGCACGCGGCGGGCGCGTACCTGGCCAACCTCGGCGCCACGCGGCGTCTCTGCTCGGAGCTGGACTCGGCGTACAGCTGGGCGCCAGAGGATGCAAGCGCGCGGGCTGGAGCTGCTGTCTGCGTACAACGCGCAGCTCCCGCAGTCTGCCAGCTTGCGCCCCGACGCTGTGGAGACGGCGAGGCAGCAGGACCTCGCTGCTGCGCTTGACGACCACTGCCCCCGGCTCTTCTTCGAGAACCTCGGGGCAGCCGACCGCGCGGACATCTCTTGGAGATGCTCCCCGGGGCGTCGGGTTTCCTGGAGGTCGCGCCCCACGAGAAGCTGGGGCTGCTCTTCGAGCCGGAAGAGCTCCTCACCGAGCTGCGGGGGCGGCTTTTGCTCCAGGTCTATGACGCGGACCATTCTTGCCCTTGCTGCGATGAGCCTTGCGACCGGCACGGGCGCCGCGCTGGCCTGTGCGCTGGCGCGTGAGACCAGGTGTGCCGGCACAGCGCCGCGCGCAACCTGGCAGGGCGATTCGCCGCCGCAGCCGGCTGCAACCCTGAGCTGGAAAAGGCCGGGGCTCTTGCCACCGCGCCCAGACGACGCCCGCGCCTTCGGCCGTCGCCCCGCCGACGCGTGCATCCCAAGATGGCAACTAAGCACGCCTGCCGCCTTCCGACCTCGCGGATTCCTCTCCGCACCGGCAGCCTGCCAGGGGGCTGGCCTTCCAAGGGATTGGATGCGCCGCAAGCGCGTTCGAGGTGGTCAAGCGCACCCACCTCGACACAGAGGTCCTCTGCAGGCAACAGGGGATTATCCTCATCCCTTTGGTCGCAAAACCTACGGGTGGCTGGGGCCCGACGAGGGCCGAGACGCTCCGCCGCCTAGCAAGGGCCGGTGACGCGCGCCTGGGCGAGGAGCCGGGCGCAGGAGCGACGCGTCTCTTCCAGCAGCTGTCGGTGGCTATCTGGAGGGCTTCCGCCCGCGCCGTCCTCCGGCGGCACCTGGAGGAAGTCCCTGCCGGGGGAGCGGCCGCAGCTGCCCAGGACGTCCTCGCCGAGGAAGACGAGGGTATCTTGTAGGCACCCTTTTTTTCTCCCTCCTCCCTTCTCCGCCTCCTGGAGAGGTGTTTTGTTCTTTGGCGCTTATTTGCAATGTGATTCACCCTCCCGCCCGAGTTCGGGCAGCTCACTTGCACTTTGAGTTTTTTTCGCTTATAACGATCCGTTTTGCTGTCGTCTTCTTCGTTCGTCGTTGTCGTCGTCGTCCGTCCTTCGTCTCTTCCGCTCCTCTAGCCTTTCCCGCTCCTCCTCCGCCGTTGGCGTCTCCTCCAATCCTCGGGGGGCTGTACCTTGCGGCGGGTTGGTGAACGGTGCGCTCCCTGCTCCCGCTTGCGGAAGTTGGGGCGTGCGCCGATCGCCTCTCGTTGCTTGGCATGGCCCCCGGCTCGCCCTTGTGCCCCTCGGGGCCTCCCCCGTCGTTGCGGCTTGCTGATGGATCGACACGCGCCAGATCGGCACTGACGGCGTCACCCTGATAAGGATCAGACCTCGTTTCTCGGCTTTCAGGGGTTCTGCTGGTGGCAGAAGTGGTAAAGCGTCGTGGCGCCCCTCGGGAGGCCGAAACAGGACGTAGCGCCAGCCAGCAGGATTCCCATGGGGGCGGCACAGGCGCTGTTTTTTGTCAATCACGCGGGCCTGAGTGTGCGTGAGTCTGGGTGTGGATGAATATGCGCGCAAGTGAGTCTGAGCATGAGTGGGCCTGAGTGTGAGTGAGTCTGAATGGGATGAGAGGGAGAACAAGACGGGTGAGGAGGCGGAGGCGTCCCAGAAATCACAATAACCCGATACTTAGGACATGGAAACAGATATAAAGATCTGCATCCAGCTGAGAGCGTCATCGTGCGAGATGGGCTCACTAGTTAGTGGACTTTTCCGAGCTCGATGCTGGCATTCCAAGGCTCAGAACCTGTGTATGTAAAGTAAGGCGTTTCTCTCATGGCCCTTGGTATCGAAGCAGGGGCCACCGCGCCGTGGGAAGCTGACCGGGTCTTCACTCCGATACCGCAACGGCGTAACCCTTTGACGTGACAGCGCAAATCCTTACCCCCGCGAGGCCGACATGAAGAAACGTGACGGGATCGGAAAACACAAGTCTGCCTAAGCTAGAGGCCCCCTAGATGGTGTCGGAATAGATGGGGTCGGAGGATCGAATCGCATCGCCGATACGTCGGCGATGCATTGGCGATGCAATGGCGATGCCCCGGTGATGTACCGTCGACGTCGGCGATGCAGCCGCGACGTCGTTGCCGAGCAAATCGGGCTCCACATCGAGGCGCATCGCCGATGCATCGGCGATGCGGCGCGTTGCTCCGACCCCATCTACAGTCAAAATCTGTAGTAAGGACGCGCTGTAAGACGCAAGACCCTTGGACGGTCCTTGGACGCCCCAGTTGAAGCTCCTCTAGCGGCGCACTGCCGAACAAATGTAAGGACGCAAAGGTGCCCTTGGGAAGGCTACCCGTTCTTTCTATGGATTTTCACTCTACGCGCCCAGGGGGAAGTGAGAAGGGGCGGGCCTTCTCAGAAGGCTCGGAAGTCCCCCAGACTTCTGAGAAGCTTTCTGAGCCTTCCCCGAAGACTCACACAAGCTCTCAGAAGGCGCAAGGGCTTCTGAGAAGTCCCGCCGTCTTCTGAGAACGCCTTCTTCTTCTCGCTTCCCCCTCGCTCCCCGCCGATAGATAAGCTGAAGTTCTGGGCCCCTCCCCCCTCCAGAAGCCCCTGGAGGTCGCCGGAGGCCCAAGGGACGGCCGACAGCTTCCGACGCCTGCGACCCTCGATCCTCGAGCAGGAGAAGGAGGTGTTACTCTTCAAGTAGGGGATCGATCGCAGAACTGGTCTACCCCAAATCAGTTTTCTCGTCAATGTGCGAGAAACGCGTAGAATGCTCGTAGATCGCCCCACGCATGTTTCCTTGATTTGGACGAGAACACCAACTCTGGGGTAAACCAATTCTGTAGTCGATCCCCTAGGTAAATCAATTCTGTAACCGATCCCCTGCTTAAACTCGTCCTTTCGAGGTGAGGGTGGCTGGGCAATACGAGGCTGCAGGTCTGGCTGGTTGGTGCTGAAGACAAGGCTGGGCAGACGATGCAGGAGGACGCCGCCGCCCAGCGGCCTCCCGTGAGCAGAGGAGGAGCGGAGAGGGGAAGAACGCGGAGGAGGAAGGAGTGGAGGGGGATGAGGAGGGAGGAGGGGGAGGAAGGGAGGAGGAAAAGGGGGCAGGACAAGGGGGGCGGGAAAAGGGGCAAGAGAAGCCGAGCCACCCGTGTCCGCCGCGGCCTGGGGGCTCGGCGCGGTCTTCTGGGCGCCAACTGGCCTCGGCGCCGCCGGCGCCGCCTTCCCGAACGCGGCTTTCACGCCGGGGGCGAAGAGGTCCTCGTCCGAGGACGAGTCGCCTCGCCCGATCTCAAGCCATTCTCCGTCATCCTCTATCCCCTCGTCCTCGTCGTCCTCCTCCCTCCCCCTATTCCTCTTGCGGTTCGCAATTCCATTGCTCATTCTGCTCCTCCTCCTCCTCCTCCTCCTCTTCCTCCTTCTGGCCTTCACCCTCACCATACCAATCAACATCTTCCCGTCCTCCTCCCTCCTCCTCCTCCTCCTCCTCCTCCTTCGCCCCCTCCTCCTCCTTCTCCTCCTCCTCCTCTTCCTCCTCCTCGCCACCGATCCTGGACGATCTGAGCCCGGTTTGTTTTGGATGAGGGCCGAGGATCCTGGAGGTTCAATGATCGAGTATGGACGGTGGGTGGCCCAAGAGCATCGAAGACCCTTCGCGGATCATCGATCGCCCCGTCCACGGAACGAATATCGAAGATCGAATGCTAGTTGCCTCGCCGTATGCCCAGACATCCGGGCGTCGTGTAATGATCAAGACCCATTTTTTTGCCAACGGGTTGGGTGGTGCGCACTGCGGGATGGGGCGTGCGTGTGTGTGTGTGTGTTTGTGTGTGTTTGTGTGTGTGTGTGTGTGCGTGCGCGCGCGTGTGTGTGTGTGTGTGTGTGGCGGGGATCACTTCTCTCACGGCTCTATCATTGTTTGCTGCTTACAAGTATTCGTGGACGATCGGGCTAGAAAAACAGAGGGGTCGATCACGTGCGACCTCTTCTCAATAACTCCAGGTGTCTTCTGTTCTACTCTGGCATCTCTTGGCGCGTCTCTGCCCGTGTCTTCGCCGCCACCTCTGCCGCCAAGTCGCCTCTCGCACGGAGCGTCAACGACTCCGTCTGGGTCCGAACAAACTGTCCAATTGGGGTGATCATCGGATTGGGACGCTGGAGCACAATCAAACTTACATCACATATTTTGAAGTCGGGGCCAAGTCGGCAGTCGCCGCGTCAGCCCAGAAATCGGGCACTAGAACTCGGGCAGGAATCGAATCGGAACGTCCTCGGTAGACAGAGCCATGGGTCGCGCTGGATCGGATCGAGATCCCAAGATACCTCGGGTTCCTTTTCGGTCACCACCGTCGGAGTTTCTGAGCGAGCCAACGCTTGAGCCATCCAGCCCTGTGAAATTATCCGGACGATGTCGCGTGCATCTAGTTGCCGTGGCCGCGCACGCGACGACCTCGAAGTATTCGAGTCTGTCATGCGCTGTGAACCGGGGCGCTACCCACACATCCTCGTGATCTGAGATGTGGCACTCGAAGTTCGAGCATTGGTGAGCCGTGCAGCAGAGGACGGAGCAGAAAGAGGCAACGGGGGAGAGCGGGGCGAGGAAGGCGAGGGCGAGGCGGACAACTCGGCTCGGCTAGAACTGCTCGCATCGAGCTCTTTCCGCCGAAGGTGCATTCGTTTGCCCATGGGAGACTGGGCCGCAGCACCCGGAGAGCGGTGGAGCGAATCCATTTTCTTCTCGAGATTCTAAACCACTCCCTCGAGGCCCAGTTCTGCGGCGATGCTGATGGCCCTGGGCTTCGGGACCGCGGACGGCGAGGAAGGCGTGTATTCCTCAGCGGGTGCATGGGAAGCCCACGAGACGAAATCGCCGAACTGCATGTCCATCTCCAGCAAGCGGCTGGCAAGCTGCTTGCACCTCGCATGTCGGGCGTAGAGCTCTCCAGGCAGGGACGAAATCATATCGTTTCGCACACCAGCCAGGTTGACCAGAGTCAGGCGATGAGCAGGGCAAGGTGTGTACCACCTCGACCATTGCAGGAGCAAAAGACGCAGCACCAGGGTTAAACGGCTTCTGCATGTCATTTGGCCTCCCAGCATTCGGGTCGCCTTTGAATTCTCCCATCGTCGGGTACGGCGCGGCGGCCAAATCCAGATCCCGAAGGGAATTGGCAGGAGATGCATCCGGCGGCACGCCATGGCAATCCATGGTATGCTGCTGCGGCTCGAGCTGCTTGTGCATGTTGTGCAACAGGGACTGTCGGGCCTCCAGCTGCAGTGCCAAACCGACGCTTTCTGATTATATAGCCTGCCTTTCAGACACCATTCGCTCCCTTACAGGAGGAAGTTCTGCAAGTCTTCCATCAGGGACTGCTTAATGTCAGAAAGCAGCGAAGGTAATTGAGTCCGTCTGCGACGAGGGCCAGTGCGCACTCCAGGGCGTAAACAATGTACAAGAACTTCTGGCGACGAGGCCTCAGCGGCAGGGGCAGCAGCAGGGGCCCACAACATCGCGGAACGGCGCGCACACCACGCTGGAGCGGCCTCCAGGAAGTCAGCGTGCTGGAATAAAGTGCAGGAGAAGACGATTCTCCGTGTCCACGAAGGCGCAAACAAATACTTCTCAGCAGCCCACCGGATTGCACGCGAATGGTGCGCGAGGCCTCACACTCGAAAGTGATATAGGAAGAACTGAAACACAATAAAGAAAACTCGCACGCCTCGCGGCAACAAACACATGGAATCACAGCGTCCAGAAAACCGCTGTCATGCTGGGGCGATTGGTGGTTGGAACAATTCGGTCTTACTCAAGGACGGCTTGCGCAAGCACTGCGATCATTACTTATACTTGCATGCGCAAATATGTACGTGTGTTGCTTCCTATGCACATACATGCTTTTGTAGGTAGACGCACCTCGTAATTAGTTTTATGTGTGAATAGAAAGATGACATGCACATGTAAAATGAATAGATGTCCGTATGTAAATATATAGTTTTACATGTAACTGTAAGTTGTGCAACCTATGTGGCGCAATCTATGTTGTGAATTGTATGTGGTGCATTGCATGTAGCTCGTTACTCATGCAGCGCAGTATGGAATGTGCAAAATGTGTGGCGCAATCGATGTGGTGCGCCTGTAATCGGCGTTGTGCAATCTATGTGATCCAGTATACGGTGTGCTATTTACGTCGTGCCAAATATGCGGTGCAAATAGTTCCTGCGCGCAGTGCGTTGTCCACTCCATTGCTCGAACATTCATTCAACCCACCCACCTTCAACTTGGTTTGCAAAACCCATGCGGCGGCGATTGCGATGAGTGCCTGGAGTTGGATGGTGCATCTCTGCGACCGCGCTACCCCGCGCATGCTCGCGCGCGCAAAGGCCAGATAGTTTGGCGCTGCCCACGCGGCCGCGGTGGCGCTCACCGCTGGGCATTTCCCAGCGGGTCCTTTAGTGCGAGTTGGCGACTTGGGTGGGCGCGGTATCATGGCAACGTCGACAAAGATAGACGCGATGATGATGGTAGCGATGCTGGTGACGATGTTGGCAACGACGACAGAAAGGCCTGTCACGGCGCCGATGCTGATCACGCCGACGACGATGACGGCGCCTTTGCGTCGGCGATGGAGGTTTTGGAGGGAGTTCGACATGCGCGCGCGGCCGACGCGCGAGTGGTCCGCAGGGTGTTATTTGACACGGATCGTGCCTCCCCGGCACGCGCGCAAGGGCGTTCGTCGAATGATTTCGACGTGCGGCGCGAGGAGTCCGTCTGGCAGAAGTGAATGCACATGTTGAAAACAAAAAAACGCTGGTTTTTGTAACGAATTTGCAGGAACGCGACAAACGGGCCCGAAAAAAGCCCCCTATGAGGGCAGATTTCTTCACCCACCATATGGGTCACTCCCCATTACCACCCGCCCAAGAAGCCGCGGCGATCGGGCGCCCCGGCATCCGACCCCTGTACGGTTTCCCCCAGGGCCGTAGGCGATCCGATGAGGAGGAGGAGGAGGAGGAGGAGGAGTGAGGAGGACGAGGAGGAGGAGGGAGGAGGAGGGAGGAGGAGGAGGAGGAAGAGAGGAGGAGGAGGAGGAGGAGGAGGAGGAGGAGGAGGAGGAGGAGGAGAGAGGAGGAGGAGGAGGAGGAGAGAGGAGGACGACGGGTCGCCTAAGCTAAGCCCTTCGGAGACACCCTCCACCGACCCCCCCCGTCGCCGGCGGTCTGCCCCGGCTTGATGGCGCCCGGGATCTCCGTCACCGCGTCCTCGGTGGCCGCCGCCACGAAGCCGGCGGTGCCGCCACCGGGCGGGGGCAGCGCGTGGCCTCTCGCGCACGCGGTTGGGGGGGGGGGGCGTGCGCGGGGCGCGTGGGGCGGCTGGCGCCGACGCGACGACGACGACGACGCCGACGACGACGACGACGACGGCGACGACGAGAACGACGAGAACGACGACGACGACGACGACGACGACGACGACGACGGGGACGACGGGGGCGGGGGGCGGGGGGCCGAGGGAGAGACCGGGCCGGGCGAAGCTCGGCCAGGCTGAGCTCGGCCAGCTGAGCTCAGCCAGGCTGTGCTCTGCCCGCGCCGAGTGCAGCGTGGCCCAGCTCAGACTGGCCGAGGGCAGCGGGCCGAATTCAGCCTGGCCGAGCTTCGCCTGGCCGAGTTCAGCTAGGCCGATCTCTTCCTGGCTGAGTCTAATTGCTGCCAAGGTGCCAAGGGGGGCGGCGGTGACTCGCCGCAGGCGTCGTCGGCAAGAGCAAGCCTGGCACGCCCACGAGGCTGAGGGCAGGATCTCTGGCTGTCCGAGGAGGCTCGGGGTCGCTGGGCTCCGCTCTCTTCCTTGGGCCGTGGAGCACGGAGGGAGGCAGGGAGGATGGGAGGCCAGTGGCCAGGCGGCGAGGGGCAGGGGCAGTGGGGGGAGGGAGCAGGAAGACGGAGCAAGGGTAGAGTGGAGACCCATGCCAAGAAACACGCTGCTTGCCTCCAGGGTGCCCTGGGTTCCTTGGGATCCGATGGTGTTGCCATGGAAAGCGTGACGCTCCCACACCAAGAATCCATGGACGGCCTAGGGTCTCAGGGTTGGGTTTCTTGCGGAAGGTTTCTTGTGGTCGGGCCTCCACTGTAGTCAGGGGACGGATGGACGAGGAGTGGAATGACACAGCGGGAAGGAGAAGCTGTCATAGAGCGTACGGCAGGACGGGGTGATGGCAACCGCCAACAGCCTGCTGTCGGAGCCAACATCCGGAGCGCAGTGCAATGTTTGAAATGTATGCGTTGCACTACTTCATTCAATTTCCTGTACCCTCACAGGCAGACGCGAAACGCAGCTGTGAATTCGACCAGCCCATCGGGCGTAGGTGGTTTAACGAACGTGTACCTTCTCTCTTCCACAATCCCTCCTTCCCCTGCTCGGGGAAGGGGTCGGAGGTTGGGGGGTGAGATCGAAGTGGAACGGAGAGCCCCCCTACCGGAAAATCGATTTCGGTTTCGTGTTCGTGCGTGCCGTGCGTGCGGGCGAGGCGAAGCTGCGTGGGCGGGCGAGAGGAAAGTCTCCTGTGGCTGAGGCGCGGCCGGACCAAATGATTCTCCACCGGGGCGCGGGGCCGCGCGGTGTCCCGCCGGTGTCCCGGTGGTGTCCTCTGTGGCTGAGGCGCGGCCGCACCAAATGATTCTCCACCGGGGCGCGGGGCCGCGCGGTGTCCCGCCGGTGTCCCGCGGTGTCCCGCGGTGTCCCGCGGTGTCCCGCGGTGTCCCGCCGGTGTCCCGCGGTGTCCCGCGAGGATGATGATGATGAGATGATGATGATGATGATGATGATGATGATGATGATGATGATGATGATGATGAGGATGATGATGATGATGATGATGATGATGATGAGATGATGATGATGGTGTCCCGATGAAGATGATGATGATGTTGATGATGATGATGATAGTGTACCGATGATGGGGATGGTGATGCTCATGATGATTATGCTGATGATGATGACGATGATGGTGTCCCGATGATGATGATGATGATGATGATGATGATGCTGATGATGATGATGATGATTCCGATGATGTTGGTGATGATGATGGTGATGGAAATGGTGTCCCGGCGATAATGATGTTGATGATGATGATGTTGATGATGATCATGGTGTCCCGATGATGATGGTGATGATGATGATGGTGATGATGATGATGGTGATGCTTATGGTGTCCCGATGATGATAATAATGATAATGACGATGTTGATGATGATGTTGCTCATGATGATGATGGTGCCCCAATGATGATAATGTTGTTGATGATGCTGATGTCGATGATGATGATGCGATGATCATGATGATGATGGTGTCCCGAGGATGATGACGATGTTGATGATAATGTTGATGCTGAGAACGATGGTGATCATGATGGTGTCCCGATTATGATGATGAGTATGATGATGCTGCTGATGATGATGACGATAGCTGTGTCCCGATGATGATGATATTGATGATGAGATGATGATGGTGATGATGATGATGTTGTCCCGATGATGATGCTGACGTTGATGATTATGTGTATGATGATGATGATGATGATGATGATGATGACGGTGCCCTCATGATCATGACGATGTTGGTGATGACGTTGATGTTGATGATGTTGATGATGATGATGCTGACGTTGATTGTGAGAGCGATTGTGATATCGATAGTGAGATCGCTATCGAGACCGATTGTGTGATCGATTGTGTGATCGATTGTGAGATCGATTGTGAGATCAATTGTGAGATCGATCGAATGAGATAGATCGAGTGAGATCGATAGTGAGATCGATCGAGTGAGATCGATCGAGCGAGACCGATAGTGAGATCGATAGTGAGACCGATCGAGTGAGACGTTGGTTCCCCCCCCCGAACCGCCTTATCACCCGAAGGGTGGTCGTATAGGCATATCATTGTTCCCTATTACTAAACACCCACTCTTACAGGCGACTGGCAGCCAACCCGGACCAATGAGACCCCCCACCATCTCGTGTAACAAACAATACAACATGCACTTTGCCTCCAAATCTGGCGCATGCGCGGGCGCTCCGCGGCCACTTTGCATTGGTTTTGACAGGGGCGGCGGGGCTGCTTGGCGCAGACCAACCATCCCTGTCAAATAGACGATCCCCCCCAAAAAAAACATGTTGGCTCCAAACCTGGATCTTGCGCAGAACCCTCTTCTCTTTGAGCTCTCATATGTTCCACGACTCCTCAAGACGTCACAATTTATCTATCGGTACTGGTGCTTTGCGCTCCGTGGAAAAGCCGCCCTTCTCACATAATGCTCGGCACTTCGCTTCAAGGGGATTCGAGATCTTGAGCTCCTTGGGGTCAGGGCCCGAGGCACCTGGGGTCCCTATTGGTTCCCCGTAGCTGGCGCACCTGGCGCGGCTGGAGCACGTGGCACAATTGGCGCACGTGGAGCCTGTGCCGCACCTGGCACGCTTGTGCTTCCAGGGTGCCAGGTGCACCTGGAACCCGTGGCGCGCATGGCATGTGTGGCGTTCCTCAATGATTTGCTGACACTCAGGTGTTACTTTTGGGTTTGGGGTTCGGGTGGGAGTGGGCTAGGCGGCCTGCGATCTAGGAGGATAGCTTGACCCATCCCCCTGCCCCCTCACCTGGGTCTGAAGGGGGGTCGCGGGCAGTTAGAGCGTCCAAGATGGCCCAAGATGGCTCCAAGAGGGCCCTAGATACCCCAAGATGGCCTCCAAGATGGGTCCAGATTCCTCAAGATGGCTCACTATAGCCTCCGCCCCACGTCCAAAAGGCCTCAAGACGGCCCCAAGACGGATTCACGGAAATGGCTAAGAAAAGTAAGCAACCTCAGTGCGTCTGTCTTTTAGCTTTGTCGCTTCCAATGGGCTTCTGAAGTCTCAAGGCGACCCCAAAACGGCCCAAGAAAGCCACGAGAGGGGCCCATGATGGCCCCCCAAGTGCGCCCAAGAGCGCTCCAAGAGCGGCCCAAGCGGGCCCCAACACACAATGTGTTAGCCTCCGAGGGGAGACCCACGCGCAATTTTTGAGCCCCGAGGACCTGGATGTCCCGCCCCCCCCTTCTTTTTGAGCCAGGGCGCCCCCTCAAACTCATCCAAAGAGCTCCAAGAGAGTCCCAAGACCCTCAAAACGAGCCCCAAGCGGGCTCCGAAAGTGCCCCAAGAGGCCTCACGGGGACCCCAAGAGGGCCCCCTAAGATGGCCTTGACAGTCCTTCAAGAACATCTCACAACAACATGTCTCCAAAGCCTGACTTCTCATCCTCCTTGTCATCGTCCGTTCCGTCCCTCCTCCTTTCCTGCAGCCTCCCTCCTCCTCCTCCTCCTCCTCCTCCTCATCTTTCTTGTGCCGCAGTTTTCCTCCCCCTCCTCCTCCTATTGTTCCCCCCCAGCTTCTCTCGCTCCTCCTCCTCCTCCTCCTCTTCCTCCTCCTCCTCCTCCTCCTCCTCCTCCTCTTCCTCCTCCCCCCAAGGCGATCCCAAGAGCTCGAGCATGGCTCAAGATAACATCCGACAGACCTCCAGGAGGCCGCAAGGCAGCCTCACAATGGCCCAATATAACTGAATATGGCTCACGGTAACCTCCGACAACTTCTAGCCGAACATGCGACACGATAATCTCTACGAGGCCTCGTTAAAAGCTCCGACCGTGTATAGATGGGCTAGTGGGAGTACGCGACGCGTTAACTATTGAAACACACTGTACCGAACAACACGTGTGTGTGTATATATGTGTACACGCATGTAACTCATCCAATCAATGATTGCCCTTAAGCGTTCCTACGTGTGTTCTCAGGAACATACGTGTGTGTGTGTGTGCAAAGACATATGGCATCGAAACACAACCGTCGCCGTCGCCTTCCGAGTCGTCGCCTTCGTCGCCGTTGTCGGCGACGCCAGTGCCACTGCCGCGGTCGACGGCGGCGGCGGCGGCGTCGGCGACGGCGACGACGACGTCGACGTCGACTCCGACCACGTCGACGACGGTGGCAAAGTCGGCGGCCGTGACCACAGCGACGACGATGTGAACACGTTGAAGCAGTGCTGGCGAGGGAGACGCAGGGCGGACTCCCTTCGGTGAGAGAGAAAGTGAGGGAGAGAACGATAACAAGACAAGCTGTGTCTCGAACACATGAACAGACTTCCCGTATATGGAAATCTGATCCTCTTGAGCCCCAGACGCTTGCAATTCACCCAAGTAAGAGCAACCCCTCCACCGTAGAATAGTACCACTGTTCTGCAGATTCAGGGCTGCGTGGATGCCAAGTGCTTGGGGCCAGAATTTGCAGTATTCTTGTATGTTCACTCTGGGTCTAGGTCTATATGGGAAGCACCAATCTCTCCCACAGAAAACATGGTTTCCCATAAGACTGCGAACTGGGATCTACGAGACTCTCGCACACACGAAACTGAATTCAGTGGGGCCACTGGTTTTCACACAAGAGGGAAGACTTTCGGCCTTGGGACGAAGGAAGTTGCGCCACTAGCTGGGGCTGCGAAGATGGCGGCGACGACGACGATGGCCGCGACGACACCGCGCCCGCGGACACGACAACGGCATCGACGAACGGCACGAGTCTTAGACTTGCTTCTGGCTAACAAGTGCAGCCGTCAATCGTGGACTTCCCCCTTGTCTGCCACAGACAGGGGAGAGTCGAAGCTCGCGGTTTCTCTTTTCACTTTCCCAACTTTGTGTCGGCGTCGTCGACGACGGTGACGACGATCCAGCTGAATCCAAAGTTCACTTGCAGGACGATAGAACGCAACACCAGACTGGTCAAACGAATCCCACGCACCGACGCAGTGGAGGCCGCAACGAACGACCCACGCAGAGCCGCGAACCCATCCCGAGCCCGAGCGCAGTGCCTGCCCCGAGGGGCGCCCGGGGCACGCGCTCAGCAGCGGCAGGGAGGCCCCCGAGCGATGCTTCTGTTCCCGGCTGCACCGCCGGGCCTCTGCCACCGCTCCCTCGCTCGCTCGCCGCCAGAGAAAGCCTGGCGACCCCTGGGGACGAAGGCCCTCCCGTTGCGATGACTTCGCCTGGTTATCCTCTTTGTTCCTCCTGCTCCTTTCTTTTCCCTCCTCCTCCTCCTCCTCCGCCGCCTCGCCGCCGACGCAGAAGTTTGTCCCGTTTCTCTCCCCGCTGCACCGCCAGGCCTCTGCCACCGCCCACGCGAGCCAGCATCGCGCGGTTCCTGAGGACCATGCGGTCGGCCTCCGTGTTGAGGCGGCGCTCCAAGTCCTCGCGGGTCTCCTCGGCGCGGGCCCCACCAGCCACGGGACCCGTATTCGGTCGCCAGGCCGCGAGAGGGCCGGGCCGGGCCCAGACCTCCAGCGCCACGAAACAAAAAAACGCGGCGGGCAAGCTTTCACGAATTTCGGCCACCGAGGACCCGTCTCCAGACCCAGGGACTATCAGACAGAAAGGCCTGCTGCGAAGTTCTAGTCCCAGGGATGGGGTCGAGAGAGATCCAGGGGGCCGCGTCGTGAAGCACAGACTCGGCGTCGGAGGTCTGTGCGGGGCCCTGCGAATACGGCAGAGCACGTGTGAACACCGCGCCTGCGCCTCTGTCGAACCAGGGGCGAGCCGGGTCTTCGAGCCTGGCGCGGACCCCCCAATACAAACTCGGCCGCCGCGTCGCAATGTAACTTCGGCTCCCTCGCCAGAATTGTCTTAGGTCGGGCGTGTCCCCCTGCAGGCGGAGCTTGGACGACAAATCACAACTATTCAAAAGTATTCCAAAAGAGCCAAACATAGTGGAGAAATCGTCCCAGAATATTGTGTTTGACTATGTTTGAATATTCCTCCTGTAGAGGGACATGCCCGACTTAAGCCTTGTGCCTGCCGACGCCCACGTGGAGCCCCGCGCCGCGCCGGCGGCCATTTGTGACTGAGCCCCGAAAGAACGATGTGCGGGACAGTCGGGACTCCACAAGCGTGGAGGAAACCTCGCAACTACAGGCCTCCCAGATGGGGTCGGAGTAGATGGGGTCGGAGGATCGCGCCGCATCGCCGATACATTGGCGATGCATTGGCGATGCACCGGCGTTGCACCAGCGATGCATCGTCGATGTTGGCGGTGCATCGGCGACGTCGGCGTGAAGCAAATAGGGCTCTGCATCGAGCCGCATCGGCGATGCATCGGCGATGCGGCGTGATCCTCCGACCCCATCTACTCCGACCCCATCAGGGAGGCCTAGAGCAACAGAAGCGCGGCTAGAGGGTCATCTCTACGGCCTGGGAGTCAGCTGGGCGGGGGCCTCATTAATCGGTGTGCGAGTCTTCCTTGTCGTCATCGTCAGCCTCGTCCTCCTAGTCCTCCTAGTCTTGACTGTTCTTCGCGGCCTCTCGTTCTGGTCATGCCCCCCTGGTTCTAATGGTCATGCTGCATGTTTGTTCCTCCTGGTCCTCCATCTCACGCTCGGCCTCCTGATCGTCGTCATCGTCGTCCCCCGCCTCGATAACAATAACAAGCTGGCAGATGCTGGTCTATGCTGCATTGTCTGTGAAAGCTGTTGCGCACATGCATGTTGAGAGGTAATTAGTGGAAACCCATGGAGCAGATACGGGAGAGAGGAGGGCCAGAAAAAAGAAGGGATGGGACAAGGTCGGCGGGAACGTGAAGACGCCTGGGCAGAAGCAACAGGGGGAGAGTGGAGCAAGCGTTAGGTCGGGCATGTCCTCCTACAGGCGGATTTTGGACGAAAAAACAAACGTAGTACAACAACAATAATCCCAAATAGTCAACACATGCTACAAGAAACGTCTCCAGGCTATTTCTGGACCATTCTTAAGTTTTCCTCCTGTGGAGGGACATGCCCGACTTAAGAGGGACAGCGCGCTGGGCACCGGGAGGGCCTGGCTCCCGTCCCCTTCCCCGCCTCCCGCCGCCCCGCCGTCCTCTCTCCCCCCCTGCACTTTCCACCTCTTCGCCTGCTCTCGCCCTCCAGCCATCCAGCCCCCTCCCCCTCACCTCTACTTCCTCCTGCCCCTGTTCCTGCTCGTACTGGAGGCCTCACCTCCGAACCCCGTTCCTCACCTCGACCTCCTACCCCTGTTCCTACCCCTCACTCTACCTCTTCCTACCCCTTCCCGAGCCCCCTGGAGGCTCCTGACAGACCTAATTGACTGGACACCCCTGAAACAACCTCCAGCTGTTCCAAACCCTTGGAGCCCAAGTAACATATCCACCTCCTCCCCCACATCCTCCTCCTCTCCCTCCTCCTCCTCCTCCTCCTCCTCCTCCTCCTCCTCCTCCTCCTCCTCCTCCTCCTCCTCCTCCCCTCCCTCTCCTTAGACTGGGCTGCGCCATCGAAGCCGACGCCAAAGTTGCTCCGAACGGCCTTCGGGGCGGCCTTCTTTTTCTTGCCATCGAACTGCTGCCCGGTCAGCTTCGCAGCCTCGTTCCGGAACGGAGGAGAAGGAGGAGGAGGGGGAGGCGGGGAGAAGGAGAAAGAGGGAGGGAGAAGGAGGGAGAGGGGAGGACCCCAGAGGCTTAAACATGTCTCCAATGTTCCGGGGGGGCTTGCGCGTCGTCTGGGGGGTTCCAGGGGATGGGGATAGCGGCATCAGGGGGACGCATACGGAAGGAGAAATACGGGCAGCTTGATCAGGAACATGAGGAACACGAGAAGGAAAGGAACGAATAGCAGAAAGCACAGAAGCATGGGCAACATGAAGAAGAAACGAAAGAGACGTGAAAGGAACACGAATGGAAAACGAGGGAATGGGGATACTGGTCAGTCGATTGTCTAAACACGTGTTTGGGCCAGCCAACTTTCGGAAACGAAGCCCGCGCTATGATTCGACGCGTGAGGTGGCTGCTAAAGTCTGGAAGTACGCCCGTCGGGCGACAGTGAAGACGCAACGTGCCAGCAAAACGGGCCCGATGCCGAACGGCGCAGTACCTCGGGGCCCGATCACACAAGCACGGACGCATCTGGCGCGATGCCGCTGCACCGAATGAGAAGCTGCACGGTATCCGCCGCCGTGCCCTTGGGCACGGAGAGGGCGTATCCTCCGGTCCTTTGCCTATTCATCTGAGCCTCGCTCCTCGCTCCCGGGGATTCTTTATGGGGCCCGGAGCCCCATTGCCAAATTTGGCGGGGTTTGGCGCGCCTTGTCGGGGGCTTGTCGCGTCTTCTCGCGTAACTTGTTCGGGCTCAAGAGGGGCCAAAGAAGGGCCATGAGGGTCTCAACAGGCCCTCAAGAGGGCACAACAGGGCCCCGAGACGCCCCAAGATCGCCCCACAGGTGGACCCAAGACGGCCCAGGACGCTTCCAAGAACCCCCCCGACACCTTCAAGAGGCCTCCCACGAGGCATTTTCCATTGGTTTTTGAATGATTTTGGCGTTCTCGCCTCCTCTGCCCCCCGACGCTCCACAACGGCCCAAGATGGCCCTCACGAACACCTCAAGACAAAGAGGCTTCCAAGAGGGCCCCAAGGCAATCTAATAGGGGCCCAAGACAGCCTAAGAGGCGCCCAAGACGGCCCCAATAAGGAACCCGATGGAGGGAACACGAACCGAAAATTCGAGCCCTCCGCCCCAAGAGGCCCCCCAGGAGGCCCCAAGAGGCGCCCGCGAGGCCCCAAGAGTCCCCCCCAAGGCCCCGAGAGGCCCCCAAGAGGCCCACAAAAAGAGGCCCCAACGCGGCCCCAAAGAGGCCTCAAAACTGCATCCAAGAGACCCCCGAGAGGCCTCCCACGAGATCCCAACACACATCTAAGAGGGGCTTCGTACCCGCAGCCAAGGCACGGTGGCGGAATGGGCCGAAAACCACTAGACCTGGCCCGGCACAGAAACGGAAAGAGCGCTGCAGCAACAAAAACCGACATGACTCACACCACCGTTCGTACCGGGAGCCTTGGGGCTCAGAGAGTGTTGCGTGGCCGCCCGTTCCTGAGCCTTGGCTGGGCCTTGGTGTCAGGAACTTGTTACGTCACCGCTCTCTGCTGGGAGCCTTGGTCTTATCAGCTTGTTTACGTCACCGTTCGATCTTGGGAGCCTTGGTGTGAAGAGCTTTTTGCATTACCGATCGCTCTTGGCGTCTCTGGGCCTTCGTGGGAGTCCTATTGGGGCCCTTGTCGGGCCCTCCTGGTGGCCTCTTGGTGGCCTCTTGGGGGCCTCTTGTGGGTCTGTGGGGGCCTCCTGGGAGCGTCTTAGGGCGAAAGGCTAGACTTTCGGGTTCGTGGTCCCCCTCGTGGGGCCGTCTTGGGGCCCTCTTGGGCCGTCTGGGGCGCCTCTTGGGCCGTCTCGGCGCCCTCTTGGGCCGTTTTGGGGGCCTCTTGGAAGCCTCTTGGGCCGTCTTGGGGCGGTCTTGGAGGCCTCGTGCACCGTCATCAACGCCGTGAAAGCCGGAAAGCCGTCTATACAAAAAATGTACGTTTTCCCATCGACAATATATGATTTTGGCCTCCTGTTGGCCTCGTGGGACGCCTCTTGGGGGCCTCTTGGGGCTTCTTGGGGGGCTGTGGGGGCCTCCCAGGAACGTCTTGGGGCGATAGGCTAGACTTTTCGGTTCGTGGTCCATCTCTTGGGGCCGTCTTGGGGCCCTCTTGGGCCGTCTTGGGCGCCTCTTGGGCCGTCTGGGGGCCCTATTGGGCCGTTTTGGGGGCCTCTTGGGAGCCTCTTGGGCCGTCTTGGGGCGGTCTTGGGGGCCTCTTGGGCCGTCGTCAACGCCGTGAAAGGCGAAAAGCCGTATATGCTAAAATATAAGTTTTCCTTTTGAAAATCAATGATTTTGGCCTCTTAGGGCCCTCCTGGGACGCCCCTTGGGCGCCTCTTGGAGCGTCTTGGGGGTCTTGGGGCTGTCTTGGGCGGTCTTGGGCTCTTCTGGGACGGAAAAAAAAGAGAAATCCGAAAACCATGCAAAAACCCAAAGGAACACCCCAAATACGGCCATTAGAGCCCATCCGGGCGCGGTACGCCCCCCCCCTGGAACCCCCCCTTTAGGGGCTTCGCCCAAAACACAACGTCATCACTCGTACCTCGCTCTTTCCGTTACCTGGGCCGGCACGGGAATGGAAAAAGCGCTTCAGCAACCTGCCCGAGATGCCTCATGGCACCCTTCGCTCTTGGGAGCCTTTGTGGTAAGAGCTTGTGGCGTCACCGCTCGTTCTTGGGTGCCTTGCTGGGAAGCGCGTGTTACGTCACCGCTCCCTGTTGGGAGCCTTGCTGGAAAGAAGTTGTTGCGTCACCGCTCTCTGTTCAGAGGGCTCGTGCCCAGAGATGCTTACGTTGCGGACCGCTGTTGGGAGCCTTGGTGGTAAGAGCTTGTTGCGTCACCGCTCGTTCTTGGGAGCCTTGCTGGTAAGCGCGTGTTACGTCACCGCTCTCTGTTGGGAGCCTTCTCCTCCTCCTCCTCATCATCATCATCCCTTTCCTCCTCATCCTCCTCCTCCACCTCCTCTCCCTCCTCCTCCTCCTCCTCCTCTTCCTCCTCCTCCTCCTCCTCCTCCTCCTCCTCCCCTTCCTCTTCCTCCTCCTCCTCTTCCTTCTCCTCCTTCTGCCTCCTCTTGTTCCTTCTCCTCCTCTTATTCCTCCTCCTGCTCCTGCTCCTCTTCCTGCTCCTCCTCCTCCTTCTCCTCCTCATCCTCCTCCTCTCCCTCTTCCTCCTCCTCCTCCTCCTCCTCTTCCTCCTCCTCCTCCTCCCTCCTCCTCCTCCTCCTCCTCTTCGTCCTCTTCCTCCTCCTCCTCCTCCTCCTCCTCCTCCTCCTCCTCCTCCTCCTCCTCTTCGTCCTCTTCCTCCTCCTCCTCCTCCTCCTCCTCCTCCTCCTCCTCCTCCTCCTCCTCCTCCTCATCCTCTCCCTCCTCCTGGGGCCCGCTTGGGAGCCTCTTGGGGCCCTCTTGGGGCTCTCTTGGGGCCGTCTGGGGGCCCTCTTGGGCCGTCTTGGGGCCCTCTTGGGCCGTCTGGGGGCCCTCTTGGACCCTTTTCGGCTCCTTTGGGAGGCCTCTGGGGCCGTCTTGGGACGATCTTTGGGGCCTCTTGGGCCTTCTTGGGCCCGTCTGGGGGCCCTTTTGGACCGTTTTGGACCCCTTTGGGGCGCCTCTGGGGCCGTCTTGGGACGATCTTTGGGACCTCTTGGGCCGCCCGGGGCCCTTCTGGGACAGAAAAAAGGAAGCCCGAAAAACCTACAACAATTCAAGGGAAATCAATGTGTTTGGCCTCCAGAGGCTCTCTCGGGGGCCTTCTTGAGGGCCTCTGGAGCCATCTCGAGACTCTTTTGGACCGTCTGGAGGCCATCTGAAAGCTTTCTTGGGGCCCTCTGAAGCCGTTTTTTGGGGCCCTCTTGGGCCGTCTTGGGGTCCTTGGGCCGCGTCATTCGAAAACATATGAAACGTGCCATGGGAGCCGCCCGGGAGCCGCTTCACTCAAAAAAAAGAAGGGCAACTAGACTTTTGTTCCCCCGCTTGCCCCCTCCCCCAGGCTCCCTCCCTAGAAGGGCTTCGCCCCCTGCGAAACGTCTCTCGCTCGTACCTCGCTCTTTCCGTCATCCACCGCCCCCCTGCTGGTCTTGCCACAAGGGTGCCCGGCGTGCTGGATATTCGGAAGGTTCGTGGATCTTTCTAAGAGCTCGCCTGGGGCTTCGGCACAGCCCGCCGGTCACCTGGAAGACCCTGTTGCTATTTTTGTCCCTGCTCCAAATAGCTCCAGCCTACGATGGCCTCCAAGTCGGCCAAGGGCCTCCAAGTTTGCCCAATATGCTGCAAGAAGGTCTTCAAGACGGCCCCAGAGAGACCAAGATGCCTCCAAGTTCGCCCAAGAAGCTTCCAAGACGGCTCAAGACGGCCCCAGAGGCCCCCAAGAGGCCTCCAAGACGACCCAAGAGGCATCCAAGAGGTCCTCCAGGAGTGCTGGAAGAGGCCAAAATCATTGATGTCAGTCAGCTTTTTCAAGGATGTTGATCTTTGCTTCTTTTCGGCCTTCCGACAGCCCAAAACGGCCCAAGAGGCCCCCAAAATCAGCCCAAGATGGCCACGAAGGCCCCAAGATGACCCCATGACGCCCCAAGAAGCCTCCAAGACGTCCCCGCGAAGGCCTCAAGACGGCCCAAGAGACTGCCAAGGCGCCCAAGATGGCCTCTTAGACACGGCCCTGAAGCGCTCCAAGGGGGCCCCGAATCGGTTCAGAGAGCTATTCAAGACGGCTTCCGACGGCGTCAGACGGGCCAGGAACACCCCAAGACGGCCCAAGAGGCCCCCGAAAGCCCCGCACACGAACTGTCATTTGGAGCCCTGTCCTCCAGTATGGCCCCGAGGGCCGCCAGTGGGCCCCCCAAACGGAGAGCCACAAGAGGCCCCCAGAGGCACTCAATAGGCCCCCGAGAGGTCCCAAGAGACCTCCAAGAGGCCCCCGAGAAGTCCCAAGCCGCATCCAAAGGGCCCCTTGTCCACGACCCAGACAGGTGGAGTGACAGGCCGAAGGCCACTAGATACCCACTGAGTTCGCCAGTCGCCCTTGTGACGTGCTTCATTTTGACATGCCCCCGCACTTCGCAAGTCGATCATCGGAAGCGGATGCGGCGCGGAGTCTGCAAGACACTCGGCAAAATCCTACAACGAAAAGGACAAGCAGAGACAGACCAGCAGGGACAGCTGGAGCTTTCCGCAAGTCGCACGGGGAGACTTGGCCAGTGACCTTCGTCGCCAAACTTCGCTCTTCGTTCCGCGCGACGCGCGAAGAGCGCGCATCTTCGCACACCTTGCACGAGTCGCGAAGGCCGACCATCTTCGCGCTCATGCGGGTGACCTTGGAAACCGACAGGCTGATGAAGCTGTGTCTAAAACGCGCGGCAGACTGGGCCAGCGACCCCTTGGATTGAACACAGTCCCCCTGTCCTGGACTTCTAGTAAGCCCAGCGAGCACAGGTAGAGCACAGCTGTGCTTCTTGAGCAAGGCCATGGCGGTCCTCATTAACTAAACATCGTTTGTGCTGGGTCGGCCTTGCAGCATCCATTGGAGCGCTGTAGTGCCCAGTCTGAGCATCACAAACAAGTAACACCTGGAATGCAAGACTGGTGGGATGAACTCTCAACACGGTGCGAGGCGATCGGCGGATGTAACCACAAGGGCCGCGCTGGAGCTCCTGCCCATCGCGCCAGCTTCGACGACGGACCCCTGCCCAGAGCTGACGCGGCCAGAGCAGGCACGGCCGAGGCGCACCCCTGCCCCTCCTTCGGCTGGACGGGACGACGGCGGCGCGGCCTTGTAGGGCCCGTACTTCATCGCGAGCCACTGCAGGCCGCTGTTGGCCTCCTGACCTGCCGCCTCCAAGTTGGCGACCAAGAGGGCGGCCATCCTCCCCGCGCCGGCAAGGCGGCGTCCGAATGCAATGTAGCAGATGGCATGGACGAGACAAATCGAGTCTCTGGCCCTGTACACTGCGACTGGTGCCTCCTGAGTGTTTCGGTCGGCGGCGGCCGCCAAGAGAAACCGCGCTTCGCCGAGAATTTCGGAGCGCCGCAATTTCGTTTGAGAAGACCTGATCCTGTCTCAAACTGGGCCAGGCTACTTTGACCATTCTGGACCGCGCATGATACTCAACTCTCTCTTCCCCAACCGCTCCAACCGTAAAACATGTCGAGCTTTCAAGAACCAAACATGCAAGCGAATCCGCGCATTCAGAAGAGTACACACAGATGAGGAATAATCCCCGAGTGTCTGTTGCATAATGTTCGGTTCTAGGTATGAGTGAGTTGTACACACAAAGACACACAGCCATCTACGACTTTGCCACGGCGAGCGGATCTCGAAATCTCGAACAGAATCCGACCACAAAGCCAGAACTCCCTTAGGAGGCAACTAGGGGGAGGTCTTCGTCGGACAGAATGAGGATTAAGACTCATTGGGGAGCTACTACGCTGGATTAGGCCGCGAATTCAGCGGGATCAAGCCAGATTCAGCGGGATTAAGCCAGATTAAGAAGGATTAAACCGGATTGAATCGGATTTCGGACCAGGGCAAAGTCAGAGTTTGACCTCCCAGAAGTTGCATCCGACGCTCCCTGATTCGCCTCAGGCCAAGCCAAGACGAGGGCAAGATACGAACAGTTCGAATGCGGATGACTCGTGTGTGTTCCGAGCCAGCGGACCCCCAGGCCGCGCCGCGGCCGCTCCGGAACGCTCCGGCACGCTCTGCAGGAGTGGTCTGGGGCAAAGGATCCGTACCACGGGGCTGCCCGACAGTGCTTGGAAGCTGGGCGAGGGCTGGCACATCCGTGGCTGCTAAAACCTACTTCCCGGAAGAGAAGCGCATATTCCCGGAATCAAACTCACCGCACTGCGTAATAAACGGGCTGCTTCCCGGAAGGAGAAACAGTTCCCCGGAGCTCCGTTTTAGCAGCCGCGGGCTTGCCAGCCTTCGCCTGGCTTCTGTCGGGGAGGCGCAGAACTTGGATACGGGGGACTCGACTTGGCCTGACGGGACCAGCATGAAAATGACGAGACCCAGTCTGAACTTTGACGCGAGCTCCCGCTGCAAACATCCCACGAAAACTGGACCGTCAAAATCCAGGACGCGCTCGTCAAAAAGCGTCGTCGAACCCGAGCTCCGGTGCACTCGAGCCTTACGCTCCCCTGATTCTGGGGTGCTGGGCCCAGCCGCGGGGTCCTGTAGTTCTCCTTGCTGTCCGCGGTGATGAGCGTGTAGGCCTCCCCGGCGGCACCCGCGCGGCCCGTCCTCTGGGCGCGCGCGCGCAACGGGCTCACGCCGGCCTGCCGAGGACCCCGTGTGCTGCAGTGATGCTTTGTGAGCCAGGCTTCGGTCGGGCACGTCCCCCTACAGGCCGATTTTCGACCAAGAAATTTAAAGAGATGCAGGAAATATCCCAAAATGGTCCAAACAATACTAGAAGAATCGTCTCTGGACTGTTTGTTACTATTCTTGAGTGCTCCTCATGTAGAGGGACAGGCCCGACTTAAAGCCAGGCTCGAGTGTCTCGGTGGAGGCCCCCCCCCGACCTAGTCGTCGAGAAAGAATCACGACACATATCGTTTTACACTTTCAGCGTCCCGAGGGCGCTCCTGTTGTCGCGCTCTGGGGCCAACAGCGACGACTTAGCGACACAACTGAGCCGATAGCTTTGAGGCCCACGTCGTCACAAAAATCAGGACGTCAGGGGTGCGGGTCGTCAATTCTTCCTTTGCGGCCAGCTGAACTGCACCACAATCATATGGCAATCATGGCATGGTGTGGCGTTGGCGTCGCCAAGTCGTCACCCGCATCGCTTATCAGACGGGGGCATTCTCCTCCATTTCGAAGGCACTGCAATTTCGGACCTTCGCTCGCGCAAACATTAGTTACCTGGCGCAGACCAAGACAGTTTTCTATTCAACCGACTTGACAGCCCCATTGGTTACTTTGGGGTGGACCTCTCACAAGACTGGCGAGGCGCATCTTTGCACGCGCAGTGGCGTACCGTGTGCAAATGACCACCAACTTCTGTATGCTTCCGTGTGGGGTTCACTGCACTTTTTCCGCAGACCGTACACACCAAACACACGTAGCGATGGGCGGTCTGGAGGACATGACATAATGTTGCCCTATACCATTTGTGAGTCGCCTTACCAGTTCCCTGAGCTATACGATGAGGCGCTGGGGGCAAGCTCCTGGCCCAAGCTTTTCTCGCTCACGCTGGAAGTAACTAACGGTTTGTCTCTCCATCTGGCGGGGCAGCTTCCACTGCATGAAGTATGCCTTTCGATGGGAAGAGGCCTTCGAACGATAAATAGCATCTGGGGGGGATGCGGGAAGCCTCGAGAAGCCGGTGCTGGATTTCCGCAGACGCTACTTCCAAGGCAACGCAACGTGCTTCAACTGGGCCCCATGCCCCTGCTCCAGAAACCTCCCTCGCCCAACTCATCGCAACTGGCCTACTTGTTAAGCCTCCCAGAGTGGTTCAAACACGTTCTCCAAAGAGGCTTGCCTTTTTGGAGTCATAGCCCCATCCCTAGAAAACCCAATTTTGCCCCAAATGGTTGCAATAACTTCCCCCGTCCCCCGTATGTTGCCCCAAATGGTTGCAATGCTTTCTTATTGCCTGCCCCTATGTATTCCAACCTGGTTGCAATGGTGTCCTCTGCTATTGCGAAGGCTTCATCTGCTACTGCGTAGGCTTTCACTGATATTGAAAGGGCGGGCCTCCTGTGGCTATTCCAATGGAGCCCCAACAGTCGTCCATCAATCGCTGAGTAGAGCAGCGTAGATGGTTAGATGAGCAGCGAAGAGCAGTGCAGACAAGAGTAGAGAAGGGTAGATGTGCTGAGTAGAGCAGCATAACATCGACTAGCGTATAATCGAGCCATGCATAGTAGAGTAGAGGGGGATAGAGCAGAGCAGTGTAGACTAGCAGTGTAACACGAATATAGTTGAGTAGACTAGGTTCGGGTGGGGTGAAAAAGGATAGATAATATCAGACTTGAGTATGGTCGGTGGTAAAGTAAGTCGAGTATACTTGAGTTAAGCAGGGTCGAGAATAGCAGAAGGGACTCGACTAGAGTGGAGTAGAGTAGAAGTAGAGGAAATTAGGAGTAGAGTACGGTAGAGCAGACTGGGGTAGGACAGTGTAGGGTAAGATAAGCGATACGAACATCGAATCGAAAACGCGTAGATGGCAGAGCCGGGTAAACTAGGACATATTCGAGCAGAGCAGATGAACACACCGAGTAGAGAAAAATATGTGAGTAGAGTAGAGTGGTGTGCACTAGCCGAGAGTAGAAGAGTAGAGTTGAGCAGAGTAGAGTGGGAGTAGGGTGGAATCAAGTTAGCCAGGCCGAGCGAGTCCGAGGGCCCCGCCATTCCAACCCTCCCCCCGACAGCGCAAGAATCAATGGTGGCACCTCTGGATCGCGTGATTGGAACGCGCCCCCACCTCGCACGTGGAAGGCGCTCGCGCGCGGCCCCGCTTCCGACGACTTGGCGCAGGAACAGCTACGCGGCCCGCCCAGGGGCGGGGCCAGCAGACCTCATGGGCACGGCGACGGCGAAGCATGCAGCCGCGCTGGCAGGGCACGGCCGCCTTCGCGGACAGGCTACGCGGCGCTGTGCGAGGACGGCGTGTCGCCCCCTCCCGCGCGGCGCCGCCGCCGCTGCCGCTTGCGCGTGCGGCTCGGCGGGCGAGCCGTGCGCCGACCCGACGCCGGCGGAACACCAATGCCGAGGGCAGTACGTACAGAGCCTGGGCGCGGGCAGCACGTCGCCCGCCCGCTCGGGCCCCCCCCAAACTGTCGAGCGACAGATATGCGCTGTGTCGACGACGTCTGCGACATCGGCGCATCCAGGGAGGGAGGGATAGGGAAGTAAGAAGTTAAGCCGAAAACTACAACCTCCTTGTTCCCGCTCCAGTTTCCATCGCTCTCCGCCCTCTCTTCCCCCTCCCTGTCATCATCGGTCTTGGGTGCTGGCTGCGTAGGGGTCACCATCACCCGCCGTGTCGAGGCGATGCCACGTTCAGGCGACATCTGCGGGGCAGCGGGGCGAAAGCCACATCTGTCGCCCGCTCGCGCGTCGACGAAGCGGCGTGCGAAGCAGCATGTGCGCCGCTCCCGAGCGGGAGGTCAGTCCTGTGGAAGACGAGCGCGGCGCCTGGGCGAAAGCGACAATTCGGGTTCGGCTTGTCGTGCGGGATGTGTTTGCAACGCGGGCGACGTGATATCCATGTTGAGACGAGCATCGTCGACTTCGTATTGAGTTCGGCTTTTCGTGCGGGATGTGTTTGCAACGCGGGCGACGTAATATCCAGAGTTGAGACGAGCATCGTCGACTTCGTACTGCTCGTGCGACTGCTAGGACGGCAAGCAAGGCCCTGACATGTGGGCGATCGCCCTGCTAGATGGCAGAGTGGGAGTATCTACCAATACGGAATCGGCATAGAGTAGAAATAGAGTCAGTTCGGATAGGGTAGGGTCGAATAGGGTAGAGCATATTATATTTGATGGTCAAATAGAATCGGGTAGGACAGAGCAGCGCAGAGTAGAACAGGGTGCATGGTAGAGCAGAGCCGGACGTATTAGAGTAGAGTGGAGCAGAGTGGAGTCGAGTACATCATAGTCGATGAGTGGAGAGCAGCACATAGTTGAGTAGAGTGAAACAGACCAATGTAGAGCAGAAGAGTACATTAGCGCAGTAGTATCACAGAGTAGAGTAGGAGTAGGAGTAGGAGTAGGAGTAGAGTAGGTTTGGGTAGAGTAGGGTAGAGTAGAGTAGAGTAGGGTAGATGGTAGGGCAGAGTGGGGGGTAATAGAGTAGTTCGGAGTATAATGTAATAGAACAGATGCTGTTGCAGTAGAGTAGAGTATGCGTAGAGTACAGCAAAGCAGGAGTTGAGTAGAGCAACTCGGGTAGAACAAACAAGGACTGGTCAGAGATAAGAGTAGAGTAAAAAAGACCAGAGTCGGGTAGATGGTAGTAGAGTTGGGTAGAGTATAGACTAGAGTAGTGGAACAGAGTCCACCCCGGTCATTTCTGGTCTACTCCAGTCCAGTCTTCTTCAGCCCACTCCAGTCCACTTCACTTCAGCATTCTGATCTAATTGGAGTCTGTGCTGGCTGATATTCGAACAAACAACGCCCCAACGAGTCTACCGTCGATAAGGAACATACTTTCCTCAATGTGAGCAGACGGCCGCTTTGGAACAACGTGGCTTCATTCTTACCCGCGAAGACGGCTTTAGCCCAATGCCCAAACCTACGACGTCGCATTCTATTCGCGACATGAGCTCCCGGAACTCAACTCTGGAGCCCTTCGCCAGGACCGCTTCTTCGTTGCGGCATGTTCCCTGTGGCCTGGAACCCGACGCGGGCCTCCACAGGCCTGAACTTTGGAAAAGCCAGCCGTCAGGACTGTTGCGCGAAGCCAGGGTAGGACGAGGAGGGAGGAGGACGAGGCGGGAGGAGGGCGATGAGGGAGAAGGACGAGGAGG